AAACCAAACAGGTTCACAAAAGTCCCCATCTTTTTACATTGCATATTTCTGTGAAATCGTTCAGCTAATTCAATAGTGTCCTGCATATTGATCTATGTATCTACCTTTCATTGAACTCCTTTGTATCTCTAGAATCCATCAATCAAAATGCAACACTACTAATGTAAAGATACCAAATTGAGATGAGCCATACCAGATAGTGTCAGGGTTGAGGTAATGCAGTGCCTCGAAAGAGATGAACCTCTCTAGAATTCCCTTTCGCGCATAACACATAGCTTCTTTGAATATACTCTCGATCATACAAAATGGCCAATTTAACAGATGCCGGTTTTTGTCAACTGCTAAAATATATATAAAACATCCCGCATAGAGCAAGATGATAAAAAAAACTAGGGCAAAGCTAGATGGAGCAATTCACTACATAGGCACACAACAAGAATATGTTTGTATTAATTCTGTAAAAAAATGTCCATCACAAATTGATAGTGGCGATTTTGAATAATGTGGCCACCATCTGTGCACGAATTAGTCATTAACCATGGTTTAATTACTCGACCCATTACGAATAATGCCTGAAATAAGAACTTTTCTAACAGCAAACATGAAATCAAAATTGAGGAAAGCTAATGTAAAAAAGGCCATAGTAGAGAATATGACATTACCATTTACGTATATTCTCAGCTCAACTTTAGCTTCTGTCCTGGGATGATGATTGGCGTTAGCGAGCACTTTTCATCCACAACTAGCGAATACTGGGCCGCGCTCTGCAGCGGCCTCTGATGTGGCATTGTGGTGGTTTCGTCTTGGCTAGCCCGTGATGTTTTCGGGATCGATATGTATGCTATACAAAATTTCAATAAGAGCTAACACAGATGTTGTAGATCAAGATCATATGACTGGAATATCACCAGTAACACCCATTGATTGTAAATGAAGTGCTTGCATACATGACAATGGTAACCGTGATAGGGGTTACCAAAAGCCGAACAAAATATTTAAAATATCATCATAATGATTGAAACGTATATAAGCAGTAGTTGCAGGCTTGCCGTAAGTAGTGGCTGTATCAAAGCACATCGTGTCTTCTTCTCCAAAGATTATCAACAATGGATGGTTTGTCATCTGAGATGTTTCTATCCTTGCAGATTGGGCACTTCCACCAAGCTTGACTGTAGCTTAAACAACAACATCAATATTAGAAACCAAGGCAACATTTCTAGTGGTTCACATCCCTAGTGGTAATTAATACCAAACACTTCCACTCTTCTACATATAAAGTTTTCAAATGATGAAGAGCTTAACAAATACTAATTCAATCCAGCTTGGTAAAATCATTTTCATGGACTGCAATTCCTCAACAACAACTTGACTCGTGAGGGGTTAAAGAAAGCCATGTATCATACACCGACTAAAAGGAAGTTCCAAACAGAACCATAATTGGCCCTTAATAAATATATATCTTATTCTCTATGAACCATGGAGAGGAGAAATTGAATAAAAAATGATGTATGAGCTTTCATCGCAGATTGCTCTGCTAACCTAATTTTCGATATACATAATGCCAAACCTCTTCTTCTAAACTAATCAAATGACCCTAAAAGACAGTTAGCTCCAATAAAGCTTGCAGACCTCCTAGTTAAGCTCCCCTTCACAAAAGTCCCCAATGAACTATAACACTTCTCCTTTGAGAACAAAACCTTCGTGGGTAATAACATTTCACAAAATGACACCAAAAACACTTCCCCTTTCAGAATATTCTATTGAATTGTCTGGACGATACTGAAACTCTTTATGTCACTATCTCACTGATCAACATTATTATTTTCAATTATGCAGTTGTAGAAATTACTAAGATCTGAACACATCAGTTCCTTAGAATGTTTAGGAAGGTTGCGTAGGAGATGGGTCATACGTAAGCCAAAAGGTGTCAACTTATGCCAATTGATTTGGACATTCGTTATGTCACAAATTTAGTGTCCTTCCTCATGTACTTACTCAACCTAATTACATAGTTTTTGAGGGGTCATCCATATTGACACATTGATCGATTTCTTGCCTTCTAATGTGACCAGTCATAGAGTTGGTTGGTGTGATTGTATGTCAATACATTTTGAGGGGTTGTCTGAGTTATAGGTGAAACTTGGTTGTGAATGTCTTTTTGGGAGAGATGCAATCAAAATATTTTTGTATTGTACCCCAAATAACTTTTTTGTTTTGTTGAGCATACAAGATTAATTACTGAAGCCCAACCCACCAATTAATCAATGGAGATGGGTCGTTGGACTAGATGTTTATTTTCTAATTTCTCTATGTCGTTGGGTAACGCATATAATGTGTGGATTCAATTTGAATATATTATCGCATTCGAATGGAGGAACCGACAGTTATAAATAACCACCAATTTCCCCACTAACCCCTCATTCCATAGATTTATCGTTTGGAAGTTGTGATTTCAAATGGTGTATTGATCAAATTCATGTATTTGTGAGATTAAGTCGTTTTTTTTTTATATAGAACTAGAATACATGCATTTACTTTTTGGAGGCCCCACCACAATCACTCAATATTGTGGGATTCACAATCTCTATTTTTTGTTGAGATTCTTCACAATCACTCAATACTAACTTATTTACCTTTGGAACAAAAACATAATCTAAACCTCCAAACAATATATTTACCTAATACATCAATTGATTCAATCCATCAAATGATAATACACTAATTGTCCCAATACATCAATTTGAAGATCACAACTTCCAAACAACCCCTTAGCTGCCATCAACTTCCGCCTGTCTTACTTTTTGAATTTACATTCTTAAGGAAACCGTCATATATAAGTCTTTTAAAATCCATTTTTTCTTACCGAAAAACCAGACCCCATTCCTCTCTCTATTATCACAATCATGTCAGTCCATGTTATCCCAATTATTCATTTCCCCGCTGAACTTGGTGCCGTGAGGCTTAGACTCTACGACTGTGGGGAAAATTATGTTCTACCGGTGATGCACTTCAGCACATCACTATGTTATTCATTGATAATCGGGTGGGTAATAATTACTTGAATTGTGTTGTACATCATTTTTTTAAACTATGCCTAATTTTTGTTGTTTTTGGTTTTGTGTTAAGGGCGAGCTGATTGAGGGGATTATTTGTTGCCCGTATTTGGAAAGAATTTTTCAATTTCTCTCTGATATTGGCGTATTCCAACATGTTTTTCCCGTCATTTCTTGACCGTTCTCGCTTGGTTTTACACTCACGTGGCCTATTTTACGCTAGGTTGTGCTCGTTTATGATGTTTCAGGACTTAGCACGTGAAAGGGCGCGAATGAGTGAAGTTCGGGACGATTTGGAGCGAAAGGGGCAGTTTCCTCCTGTAAGTTACGGCCAGACCTTGCAAGTTACGGTCTGGCCCGTAACTCAGCAAAGGAGCCCGTAAGTTGCCGTTAATAACGCAAGAGTTCCAGAAGCATTTTTTGAGTTACGGTTCACTTCTTCAAGTTACGGTCCCAGCCGTAACTCTCTCAAGGAAACCGTAACTCTTGGACGACGACAGTGCAACAACGGTGCCGTTTCTCGGCAAGTTACGGGCTATGAAGGCGAGTTACGGCCGTAACTCGAGCCGTACCTCGCCTAATCTCTGCCTATTTATAGGCTGCTGGGGAAATTTGTAGAGGAGGCGATTTTTTAGAGTTCTAAAGGTAGAAAATCGAACCCTCGAGAGAGAGAGAGAGTGACGAAGAGAAACCCGTGGGCAAGGATTGGAGCGATCTGAAGATATTGGAGCTCGAGTCCCCAACCTCGGAGTATCGATTATCCGCCAGGAGCAGATTCCATTGTCGCTTTGTTGATTGTATGAACCCCATGTTATGAATGATTAATTGGTTGAGTTCAGTTGAGGAATCATTCAGAATTGCATGAGTCCTGATCAAACCTGTGTAATTCAGAGTTTAACCTAGAACGATAGTCTCTGCATAGATTAAAAGAGCAACCTTGAATTGAAAGTGGTGAATTGATTGCCTTAGTCGATATTTTGATTCATTGCTCCGTACTGGAACATAAGGCCAGTAGTGGAAGTTTGGCATGACTATCTCCTTGGTTAGTGTACACCGGTGGAGGTTAGTCGCCCTCCGGATATTCGAATCAAAAGGGTCTGGACCACTTTAGTCGAAAGTCCAGACCTGTTAAGAACTTTCCGCTGTTTATCCATCAATCTGAGTAATTTGGGATCGTATAATCTGAACTAACTACACGCTAGGGGGATCCATATCCTAATTTTTTTTTCGAGTTCTTTAAAGAAAACTTCAAAAAGTGAAAGGTGTTTTTGGGGAGAACCAAAGGGGAGTTCCGTTTCCAGCCCCCAAACTGTTAAAAAACAAAAATATGTTTTTTGGTGAAAAAAATCTATATGTGTAAGAAAAAAATGCATTTTCTAAAAATCGAACTAATAAAATAAAATCATATTATTTTATATATATATTGATATTAGACAAAATAGTTCCATTTTCAATTTTATTAATTGAATTAATATATATTAATATTATTATTGGAACTGTCCATATCCAGTTCATCCTTAAGAACCATATCACATCCCAGATCTGATGAAATAGAATGAATTGAGACAGTATTTTGTAAATGCGTAATCATCTTGAATATATTAACTATTTCTTTCTTTTCCGATCGCCTGGAAGGGATTTTCCTTCCTTTTGCCGCATTTCGCTAAAGGGTTGAAGGGAGATAGTGCATCAAGCTGTTCGCAAGGGGCAACTTGATCCTCTTCCCCAGGGATCCCAGATGAGGGAACCCTAGGAGAGCCGCTGACTCCAACTATCGTCCGCCTTTCTTTTTTGGTTTCAATAGGACTCCTTACGAGCGTTGTTTCTATCTACTATTATCTAAAAATAATCAAGTTATTAATGACTGGACGAAACCAAGAAATAACCCCTCACGTGCGAAATTATAGAAGATCCCCTTTAAGATCAAACAATTCGATCGAATTGAGTATGATTGTATGTGTGATAGCATCTACTATACCAGGAATATCAATGAACCCGATTATTGAAATTGCTCAATTATCTCTTAACCTAGCTATGTTAGGTTCTTTAACCATTGTTGTAGCTCACCATATGTATTCCATGCCCCTTATCCATATCTAGCTACTGACTATGGTACACAACTGTCATTGTTCCACGCATCACATGTGGATTGGTGGATTTCTCATAGTTGGTGCTGCTGCGCATGCAGCCATTTTTTATGGTAAGAGACTATGATCCAACTACTCGGTATAACGATCTATTAGACCGTGTCCTTAGGCATCGCGATGCAATTATTACACGGATGACCTTTGGAACTTGAAAGAACCAGACTATGACTTGCTTCCTAGTTTCTTTTGCATTGAAAACACTTCACTCTTTTAGTCCCGCTAGATAATAGATAAATCACTGAGTAGGCAGTAGATCTAGACCCCGGGTTGATAATTTGAGCTTGCCGCTATTCTGCATTTCCATTCCAGCGATTGCACTTGGTCGCAGTTTGGTGTTGTGTCATAGCTTGTCAAGTTTTTGCACCGTTGCCAGGGACCTAAGTTATTGTAGAAACGTGATTTCTGTTACTTTAGCATTTCTTTTCCGCATGACTGTTTGCTTTGTCCCAATTGTGCCTTCACGGGTTTGCTTGCTTTGCTGTGTGCAGGTAGTGCATGACCCGTAGCCAGTCGGAAGGTTTACTACTATTGGATCCGGAGCTAGAACGCACTTGTCGCCAACTTAGGAGAGAACAGCGAGCAAGACTGGCTACGGAGGAAAAGCGCGTCGACGGCCACTTAAGCAGCGATTATGAGGAGGAGTACGAGATGGACCACGAGCACAACCCACCCCAGAGGATGCCTCTCCAGGTTCCCCCGGTTAATCAGGTCCTGGCCAACAATGGAGTCCCCCAAGAAGATGGGGTTCATCATCCACCACCCCCGCCGGGTCCTACTATGGAGTACTACTATACTCCACGCGTCGCTGACATCCGCCCTGTCATCTTGTATCCGCCCATCCCAGCAAATAACTTTGAGATCAAGCCATGCTGGATTCAACTGAAAACATCCTCTATCCAGTTCCATGGCCTGAAGGATGAAGAGGCGAGGGTGCACCTTTCCCGGTTCCTGCAGCTTGCAAATGGGTTCAAACTGAATGGTGTACCCGATGACGCGATCCATCGCCACCTTTTCCCCCATTCTTTGGCGAGGCATGCGAAGAGATGGCTAGAGACCCAACCCCCATTGTACATCACTTCTTGGGACGATCTGGCCAACAAGATCGTGCACAAGTATTATCCGGCCTCGAAGGCTACAGAAATTCAGCGGGATATCACTCATTTCTGCCAAGAGACAGATGATTCACTTTGTGATGCATGGGAACGATACTCGGGATTTTTGTGGCAGTATCCCCATCACGACTTTAGTGATGCAGTCACATTGGGGAACTTCTACAGTGCTCTCTCTCCAGAAAGCCAGAGGGTGATGAGTCTCTATGCCTAGGCGGGGACATTCTTACTAAGACTCCACCCGAGCTCAATCAGATGATCAGTACTTTGGCTGCCAGAGATCATTCTTGGGGGCAGAGCACCAAAGTCAGGAGTTCTCGGGATCGTGGTGTGCATGCCATGGAGGCTAGATCCGGGCTCGAGCGGGAGGTGGCCGAGTTGGTCCAAACATTAAAGCAGCCCAACAGTCTTATTCCGGGCAGAGGTCTGGTCGGGCCTTCAGTTGCACTGTGCCAATGGTGTGAGAGTTCGAACCATATGGTGGAAGAAAGCCAGGCTATGCGGGAGTCATCTACACCCCAGGAGCAATTGGACTTTATCGCCATGCTCGGCGCCTCGATCCTTACAGTGGAACATATAATGAGGGGTGGCGCCAGCATCCCAGCTTCTCCTAGAATGGCAATAACAACAACACCACTAAACCACCAAGTTTCCCAGCACCAGCTGGTGGTTTTCAGCAGAGGCAGCCCGTACAGGCCCGATAGGGTCCATTTCCACAGCAGCAGCCTTACTAGCCCAAACAGGGGCAACCATTTCTGCAGCCGCAATGCAGTATGCCCAGCCACCACCAGCTCTAGCTCTAGATAATCAGATGACGGAGCTGAAAAATATTTTGGCGGCATTCATGACTACCAGCCAGGCAAATTTTGCCAGGATGGACCAAAACATCGCCAGAGTGGAGCAGAACATCTCCTCACTGGAGGCAGGCCAGAGGAACCAAGGTGCCATATTGCAGGATCTCCAAAATCAGATTGGCGGTATAGCTCACCAAAATAACACAAGAGCATCAGGGACTCTGCCTACCTCCACAATTCCAAATCCTCGCGAGCCTCACCACCAGCTGGATGCCATCACTACCAGAAGTGGCAAGACAACATTCGTTGTACCTGCCCCAGCCAGGCAGGAGGGACCACTACCAGCTTCAGCACTTCCAGCCGACGAGGCAGAAGTGGGGATGGAGAAAGAAGCACCTGCTCCCAAGCCACAATAAGTGGTTAAGGAGCATGTTCCCCAGCTTCCCTTCCCCACTCGACTACACAAAGACAAGCTGGAGGCTGAATTTGCCAACTTCATGGCAATGTTGAAGCATGTCAACATCAGCATGCCGTTCATGGAGGCACTGTCGAAGATGTCCAAGTACGCCAAATTCATGAAGGATCTCCTCACCAACAAAAAGAAACTTAGGGATCTCTCGACAGTGATGCTGAGCGAGGAGTGTTCGGCCATCCTACAGAACAAGCTGCCCGAGAAGCGCAAAGACCCAGGGAGTTTTACTGTCCCTCTTGTTATTGGCAACATGCATGTAGGAAAGTCCTTGGCGGACCTAGGCGCTAGCATTAATGTCATGCCCTACAATTTGTTTAAGAAGCTAGGCCTAGGTGAACCTAGAACTACTAGGATGAGCATTCAGTTAGCTGATTGCTCTATTGTGCATCCTAGGGGTATCATGGAGGATCTGCTTGTTAATGTAGGCGCATTCACATATCCTGTTGATTTTGTTATTCTGGATATAAATGAGGATGTGGATGTGCCTTTGATTTTGGATAGACCATTTCTCGCCACCACCAAGGCGCTTATTGATGTGCACAGTAGTAAACTGATCTTGCGGGCTGGGGATGAACAAGCTACTTTTTCTGTGTCGAACAATGGGAAGCATTCCCATTTGCATGATGACCTAGATTATTGTGATATGCTTGCTGATTTTGAGGCCGCACTCGCCATCACGAGTGCGGGTACTAACGATGCTCTTGAGCGTTGTATTTTGCTAGGTGAGCAGGCATCGCAGGAGCCGCATCTGGAGGAGCAATTGGCCGCCCTGGAGCGTGGCAAATTCTTGGAAAGTGATAAGCTGTTCAAACCGATCTGATCCTCACCTTGCATCACCACCTCATTGGAGGAGCCAGCAGAACTGGAGCTAAAGCCCCTCCCTCCTCACATGGAGTATGCATTTCTCTAGGAGGGGAACAAGATTCCAGTCATCATTAGCTCGACCCTCACACCCGAGCAGAAGGTCAGACTGGTGGCTTTGCCGAAGCAGTACGAGCGAGCTTTGGCGTGGAAGATCACTAATATATGGGGGATCAACCCATTCTTCTGCTCCCACCAGATACTGCTAGAGGATGAGATGCGGCTAGTAAGACAGCCACAGCGGAGATTGACACCGAACCTGGAGGCTGTGGTTCGGGCAGAGCTCGTGAAGCTGATGGACACGGGGATCATCTTCGCCATTTCTGACAGTGAGTGGGTCAGTCCCACCCAGGTGGTGCCTAAAAAGGGTGGGATGACCATGGTTCCCAACGAGAAGAACGAGCTCATTCCTATGCGCACGGTGACTGGGTACCGCGTCTGCATCGACTACCGGCGTCTCAACGACGCCACTCGGAAGGATCACTTCCTGCTACCCTTCATTGACCAAATGCTGGAGTGGCTGGAGAGGCATGAGTTCTACTGTTTCCTGGATGGGATGTCCAGGTACTTTTAGATCCCCATTGCACCGGAAGACCAGGAGAAGACCACCTTCACCTGCCCTTTCGGCACATTCGCTTACCGGAGGATCCCATTCGGGCTTTGCAACGCCCTAGCCACATTTCAGCGTTGCATGCTTGCCATCCTCGACCGACTGGTCGCCGAGATTATGGAGGTGTTTATGGATGACTTTTCAGTTTATGGGGACTCATTCTCTCATTGTCTCCATAACCTAGAACTCGTCCTAAAACGGTATGAAGAGACGAACCTGGCATTGAGATGGGAGAAGTGCCACTTCATGGTTCGCGAAGGCATAGTTCTAGGGCATAAGATCTCCAAGATGGGAATTGAGGTGGACAGAGCCAAGATCGAGACTATCAGTAAGCTGCCTCCTCTCACATCTGTTAAGGGGATCTGCAGTTTCTTAGGCCATGCAGGGTTTTTACAGGCGATTCATCAAGGATTTCTCGAAGATCGCCTTGTCCCTAACAAAGCTCCTTGAGAAGGATGCCCCTTTCCAGTTCAATGACGCATGCATAGCGGCATTCAAGACCTTGAAGGAGAAGCGCACTCATGCTCCTATCATGGTCACCCCTGACAGGTCTCTACCGTTCGAGTTGATGTGCGATGCCAGTGCCTTTGCTATTGGAGCTGTCTTGGGGCAGAGGCAAGATCAGCACTTCCATCCCATCTACTACGCCTCAAAGACCCTCAACGATGCCAAGGAGAACTACACGACGACGGAAAGGAGCTGCTCGCGGTGGTGTTGTCCTTCGACAAGTTTCGTCCTTTCTGTTCTTGTCCCATGTGACCGTATACACAGATCACTCCGCAATACGATACGTGATGAGCAAGGAAGATGCCAATCCTAGGCTCATATGATGGATCCTATTACTGCAGGAGTTGGACATCGAGATTCGGGACAAGAAGGGAGCCAAAAATGTTGCTGCTGATCACCTCTCCCGGTTGGACATGCTGCCTGCGGACAACCTCGAGGAGGAGATCAACAACTCCTTCCCAGATGAGCGACTGATGATGATGTGTCTGGTGGAGAGTGTCACCCCTTCGTACTCCGATTTTTCAAATTATCTGGTGGGCCAGCAGCTACCTAAGGGGATGAGGACTCACGCTAAGAGGAAGTTCTTCTCCGACCTGAAGC